CGCGAAAACGGACAGCACCTCTCAAGATGACTCGAACGATACGAATAGTTTCGCGGACCTAGCTCAAGTAGTAGACCGAGTTCAGACCTCTGAATGCGACAGACGAACGCGCCTGATGTCTCCGAATCGATTTCTGTGCTTACCAGCCCTGAACCCCCCCTAGAGCCCGAGTTAAATGCAGAAAACCGACAGCATCTCTCAACCTAGCTTGGGCAGCAGACCGCGTTCAGACCTCTGGATACAACAGACAAACGCGCACAATAATTTCGAATCAGTTGCAGTGCGTTCAGCCTTGTGGCCATCCTACAGCCCGAGTTATGAGCGAAAATCGACAGCACCTCTCGAGATGACTGGAATAATACGACTAGTTTCGTGAATCTACCTCGAGTAGCAGACCGAATTCATACCTCTGAATGCGACAGACGAACGCGCCTGATGTCTCCGAATCGAGTCTGTGACTAGCACCCTGTAGCCCCCCTGCAGCCTGAGTTAAATGCAGAAAACCGATAGAATCTCTTAGAATCACTCGAACAATGCGAATAGTTTCGCGCACCTAGCTCGGGCAGCAGACCGAGTTCAGACCTCTGGATGCAACTCACAAACGCGCCTGGTGATTCTGAATCCGTTTATGTAAGTATGAGCTCTGTAGCTACCCTACAGCTCGAGTTAAGTACAAAAATACCAACAACGCGTAACAAGATGACTCGAAACGGCCGATCCCGCCTGGACGCTTTTTGGCAGTAAAAGGTACCCGATCGAGCTGAGATCAAGACGGCGAGCGGAAATAAGATCGAATATCACGGGAAAAATTACTAGAGCTCTAACGAATGGTCGAATTTCGAGAACAGGATTCTCAACCGACCAAAAGTCAGCAAAAGGTCCGTCGAGAATTTTCTTGCCAACTAGCTCTCCAGCGCGCCGGAATTACTCTTAAGCTTCCAGCAACTGGCGCCGGCGGTGAACTGTCAACCTGGTCACCGCCGGGAACCTCGTAGAGCTCCTGGCACGCGTGAGATTGACCAGAGTCGAAAGAGAGAGCTTCTCGAAGCATTTCTCGAAAAAATCAAAATTCATTTTTTATATATTCTTTTCAGGCCGGGTTGACCAACTAGCTCATCGACTAGAAGCCGGCCGTAAACCGTCAACCAGGTTTCTTGCTTTGCTCGGAGCCCACAGGGACAAAGGAGCCCCCGCTCAGGATTCAGGTCCGCAGCAGAGGAGCAGCAGGTGCTCGACACCTTCAGCGAGGCGCTTGCTGGCCAAGAGCTCAGCTTGACTAACCGTGCAGGTCGGCGGGATGGCGGCAGCCTCAGAAGCTAAGTTGAATAGCCAAGAGCCTTGCGAGTGTTGAAGAGCAGGGAGGGGGAGCACGAATAGGTCAATAACCCAACCAATGCCAACACCGTGGGAGGAACGACCACCATCGAAGTAGCCGCGAATCCCTTTTATTTGTTCCCTTCTGAGAGTATGAATGCGCGGGTCGAAAGTACGGTGGCTCTGGCCCGTGCGGGCCTTCCAAGTTTCAGCATCAGCACGCTCGTTTCCCTCACGATAAAACCACTTCCATGGATCTAATCCCCAAGACGGCGGCCTCAGGTTCACGTGATAGTTAAGATGTAATATGTATAATATACTTTGAATGTGTGCAATGGTCTCACAATATACTTCCGTCGTACATACATATTGTCCCACCAGCCAGTTCACCACCACCTGGGAGTCACCACAGAGCTCGACGGGAATCCCTTAAGCCTCGTAGTTCCAGACGCTGGCATTCTCGAAGTTAAAGGCGAGCCGCTTTGCACTATCATTGTTTCTCTCCTCCGTCCCCTCCACCTCCTCCTCGTCGTTTTTCGGCCTCCAGGGTTTCGGTTCAGGCAGGTGAGCATATTCTAAAACATGTTGAAGGTTCCATTCCGAAAGCAACGTACGGATAAAACATCTCCACCCTGCCTGAGTCCACTCTAGAGTATCATACCAAGCATCTCCACCCACCGTCTCAAAAGGCAAACCCCACGGACGAAGGCCCACCGTTTTTCCACCTTCCCTTCGACGTGTAAAAGATCGTGCTTCCTGCGAGTTATAGGTGCGAATAACGGCATCCATCTGCTGTGTCCACGGGCTGGCGGCATGCATCATCGTGTAACGAGCCTGCAAGAAAGGGTCATCCGCACTCGCCCTCACCATATCCCTTCGAAACCTTCTCCGCTTGGCTGTTGGCGCTGGCGTAGGGGCTGGTGTTGATGCTGGCGTTGGTGCAGATGTGGGAGCAGTCTTGCTCCTTTTGGCAGCTGCACGGGACGCCTGAGAGATAAGCCGTCGTCGGTTCTGACTCGTGGCACTGTCCTCCTGACACTCTGGCTGAGCAACGGTGAGGTCCCCACGGGCAGTGAGGACTGGGGCCACAATAACAGCCACCCTCCGTCGCTTCAGATCTCTGGTAATCTGTACAGCAGCACCCGCATTCAAAGACATCGAATCCGTGGTAATCGGTACGACAGCACCCGCATTCTGAGACATGAAGTCCGTGGTAATCGGTACGACAGCACCCGCATTCTGAGACATCAAATCATTATAAAGAGACACTGCACCACCCATTTCCATTGGATCAATTGTAGGCTGGGCGTCATCAACTTGAACGATCCCGTTTTGAGCAGTTGTCGTCGCCACATCCTTTGCCCAACTCCACTGCTTGAAAAAAAAGAGCTGAACCGCACTCGGCATCTGAGCTGTCCTGAGTGCTTTCCGCCCCGTCAAGTACACGCTCTGAAAGAACTGTGGCCAACTCTCGGTGTCACATTTCCGTCTCCATACCATCTTCGAAAGTAAGCGGCCTTCAAACGCCAACTCTCGGTGTCACATTTCCGTCTCCATACCATCTTCGAAAGTAAGCGGCCTTCAAACGCATGGATTTTAGCATTTTTGTCAGCCGTCATCCATTCCACTGCAAACAATAATCGGCTTCTTACACGTGAGTCGTATCGCAGCAATCTTTTCTTCAACTTAATGCCCTGGCACATGTAATACTTCTTATCTTGCCAAAACGCCTTCTGAGCGAGAGAGATCCGATGATTCAAGTCCGCATGTTGCCGCATGCTGTTTTCAAGAATCGTGCCAAGTATTTCCAAACGATCTGTCTGCTGCAAAGTTATAGTCACTCGCTGACGCTTGTCCTGGGGATTCGGCAACGCAAAAGAGACGTCCAAACTCTCGGTCCCAGGCTCATCATAGCCAAAGCGAATGAACTGCAAGCTACTCGGTTTCCATTTGTACTCTCTGTGATAAAGTGGGACACTGATATCCGCAATCATGGTCGTCAACTCGCTCTGATCTTTGGCACACAACAAAACATTGTCGGCCCAAATCGCATGTGTAAGATGACGAGTCCCTGCCTGCTGCGTCAACTGCACTCCCATCCCCCGCTCCTGCCAACTCAAGACCACAGAACGGAACATGAGCACACTCTCACACAGCCAAAAGAGCGGAGCCTCAACACTTCCTGTGCGGATACAACTATCCCAAGCTATGTCCGAGACGTCCACCTGCTGGAAAGATAAATCGGCCCTGTTCTCAGCTAGACCCTCCATGAGCGCATAACTAAGTTCAGGTGGAAACCTCAACTCCCCCAGGCAGTCAGCAACGTCGGCAACCTGTACGTTATCAAATGCGCGATACACGTCTAAGCTGGCCATGTGCATACAATATGACTTACCCCATTCCGTCGCGTGCTGAGCAACTCTCTTCAAGCCACCCGTAATCTCGCGCGTCCGTCTTCCAGCAACAAACCCGAAGAGCATGACCTCAGGGGCAACACTCCGTTTGAGATGGTCCACGGCCACCAAGGTGAGACATGCCATATACCATTATTGACAGGCAAGATAATAGTGATAAAGCTCGTGCGTCATTGAATTCACAAGTCTTCACAGACTTCGGCATAAGCTGTACACATACATGGCGCCATGCTGTGGGTGTGCAATACCCGCGCATAAACAGCTGCTGAAAGCACCGCAAAACTTGAAGGCAACCTGACCAAGGGATGTGCTTAAGCATGGAGACGCTGATGTTGTCCTTACCTACGGCCTTTCCTGAACGAAGACGAGACCTAGCACGCATGAGCAGGCCGATATCGATGGGCTGGTACTCGTGCATATTCACCTCCTGCAACCTTCTCCTCATCTCCTCAGGCTTACTGTTCGTGCGTGCACGCTCATGCTCATCGGTGTACATGGCCAAGCCGTGCTGTCTGAGGGCCTTCTCCCACTTAGACTTGTCCCAAGTGTGCACTCCCTCAACTTTAAGCGTCTTAAGGTAAGTTCGATGCTGTAGACCTGGACGGAACTCATACTCCAAGATATTCCTCCCATGCTTCCTCCTCTCATATCTGTACCACCTCCTCGCCTTCTTGAACTCCTCCTCCGTGCATTCACCCTTATTCCTCTTTCTCCTCATCTCAAGTGCAGCCTCCCGAGCGGCAACATACTGCTCAGAAACTTTCGGGGTGAGGTCGGCTTTGGTGGGGACCTCGCCGATTTCCTCACAAGGCTGTCGAATCTTGTCACCTAGCTCCGTGGGCGAGAGACCCGTATGTCCACTCCAATCGGTCTGTTCTGTCTGGCTGCTACCAGTCACCAGGGCTGCATCCACCGCATAGCGCAAAAGAGGTACACGATGAGACTGAACATGCCAACGTGTGTTGCGAACAGGATTGGGACGCACGACTCGACGAGGCAAGACACGTGCAGGGATACGCAACTGTAACAGACCATGATCACTCCAAAAGCTCGAGGCCGAGCGCCCGGACATATGTGCTGCCCCCGGCCGTGGCCACGAGACGGAGACCTCCGGAGCTCCCCAAGACGAAGGTACACCTATGTAGTCGTAGACGTGAGAGTACTGCTGTTCTTGGGGTAGGTGCCTGTAGTGAGCCCATTTAGCAGAGCGCCAGGTAGGGAGCCTCGTAGGGTTGAAGGTGTTGGCCAACTGGAGGCCCAGGGCACCAAAAGTGAAAGTAAGAGCCTCACTGAGTTCCAGAGCAAACTCCTTAGATCGCCTCTGAAATCCGCCATCCCTCGTACGAGGGACAATAGGCACACCTACAACACTAGAACCCGAGACAGCCTGAGACATGTGGAAAACCTGAGGCTCGACCTCCACATTAGCATCGGTTCCTAAGACAACATCCTGAATTCGAAACTGCTTTTTCAATCTGGCAACGTTGAGCGCTACATCCCTCAGCACCTCTTGGTATACACTAAGCGCATGCAAAAACTGTTCACGAGACTTTCCATGCAAATACTTATGGGGCAAGTAGAGAGAGAGAGAGAGAGAGAGAGAGAGAGAAAGATGGCATTAGAGCTCATTTCTTGCACACCGCTCCTTTGAACACATGAAGGAAGCTTCAAAAGCGAGCGCCAAAAAAAATCTAAAAATCACGATGTTTCTGTTTTTATCAAAAGTGGTTCCTCCAAGTGTTTTGATAGTTTTACTGTCCCTAGAGCCATAAAAACATAACCAGCACGTGCGCCATAGCTTACTACAGGGAATGAAAATCTCACTCCTGAAAACGAACTTCAAAATTGCGCATAAAGTGAAAAACTTGGTAGCGTCCAAAACCCGGAGAGCAAAGGGGACACAAACCGGAAAGCTTTCCCGCTTCCTCGCGCGCCTGCACGAGCGCAGGCACGCGTGGCCGCTTGCGGGAAGCTCTCCCGGACCCGCTGCCGGCTCGGGCGAGTTGCTGCGAGGATCGTGGAGCGGCTGAGATGGGCTGCTGGCGGGCACAACCACCGTCCGGCTTCTAATCATAAGCCCTCTAGCTCTCAGAGAGCTCTCCGGGAAAAAAACCGACCCAGGTAACCACATCCTCTCTTTTGATCGGGCCGGCCAACCTGCTCCACCCTGCGCTCGAACTGGCGCCGGCGGTGAACCGTCAACCGCCGGGAACCTCGTAGAGCTTGCACCCGAAAGAAACCTCAGGGTGGGAGCGCGGAGTTTCTGGGAGTTTTTCTAGAAAAAACGTACAATTGAGATTTTTCGGAGTTAATATGAAGTCGGTTCCGGGAAGTCAACTAATACTAAAACTGACTCTAGAGAGCTGAGCTGCTGAGAGAACAGAGTTTATATTCCAATGCTCGGCATAAAAATCTGCTTTCTGAAATTGAATTGTCAAGTATCTTTCAAACTGGGCGCCGGCGGTAAACCGTCAACCTTTCTTTCCGCCGGAAGACTCGTAGAGCTTCCTTTCCATATATTATGTCAAAAGAAATAGCAGGGGACGAATATTTTTTCAGTCGAGCGCTGATAGCAGACTGATCTCAAGTGTAGATACTATTGCCGCTGATAGTTCCTTCCGATTGTTGTGCTGAGCAGATCCAGCCAAGCTGCGCCTCATGATTTCCATCCCATTTACGTGCCGAAGAGCTCTCAAGTTAGGTAAAGGAATTCACCGTCATTTCGAAGAGAAATCGGTCCATACGAATAGTTTTGCGACCTAGCTCGGGTCGCAGACTGACTTAGAGCTCTGGATGCTTCAGACGAACGCGCCTGTGATTCTGAATCGATTATGTGTGTGTACAAGGTAGCTATGCTAACACTCGAGTTAAGCACAGACACAGACAGCGCCTGTAAAGAGAAATTAAAGAATACAAATGCTTTCGCGTACCTGGCTCGAGCAGCAGACCTAGTTCAGACCTTTCGATGCAACAGACATGGATCCGTTTCTGTGATTACCAGCTCTGAAGAGTTTCTGCAGCCCGAGTTATACTGGAAACCGACAGCACCTATCAAGATAATTCGAAGATACGAATAGTTTCGTGGACCTAGCTCGAGTAGCAGTTTAGACCTCTCGATGTAACTGACGAACGCGCCCCGATCGAGCTGAGATCAAGATGGCGAGCGGGAATAAGATCGAGTATCACGGAAACAAATACTAGAGCTCTAACGAATGGTTGAATTTTGAAAACATAATTTTCAAACGACCAAAAATCACAAGGTCCGTCGATATTTCTCTTGCCAACTAGCTCTCCAGCGCCCCGGAATTACCCAGCAATAACTAGCTAAGGGAAGCTCTACGAGTTCCTACCTCCACCCCGCGCCGAAATTCCTCTAGCTCATCGATGCCGGAGAGCTCTACGAGGTACTTGCCCCGCGCCGGAATTCCTCTAGCTCATCGATGCCGAAGAGCTCTACGAGTACTGGCGCCGGCGTGAACCGTCAACCTAGTCACCGCCGGGGACCTCATAGAGCTCTTGGAGGCACGGAAGTGTTCAGAATCGAAGCAGACAGCTTCTCGCGGCCTTTATCAAAAGACGTCAACTTTTCATTTTCGACGTCACTCTGATGTCGGTTCCCGCTCATTTTCCGGTAGTAACACTCTATCTAGAGAGCTCAGCTGCTTGGAGAATAAAGTTTAGATACAAATGCTGCGCGTAAAAATCCGCTTTCTTAGAATAAATGGTCGAATCTGTTTCAAATTTTAGCGAACCCACCCAAAGTTGTCACCTTGTCCTTTCTAGTCGGGTCGGCCAACTAGCTCCAACCCGCGCCGGAATTCCTCACGCTCTTCGATAACGAAGAGCTCTGCGAGGTATATTCCTCTAGCTCTTCGATAAAGAAGAGCTCAACGAGGTATTCCTCTTAGCTTTTTGCCAAAGAGTTCCACGAGGTATACCGAAGAGCTCTACGAGGTAATAGCCAAGGAAAGCTCTACATGTCAATTCGTCTCAGCTCTTCGATAAGGAAGATCTCTACGAGATACTAGCTAAGGGAAGCTCTACGAGTGGTGGCGTCCAAAACCCAGAGAGCAAAGGAGCAAGAGAACACACACACACACACGGGAGAGCATTCCTGGAACGCTTCTGGGGCCCCTGGCCGCGCTTGCGAAGCGCTGCCAGGAACGCTTCCACGCGCGCCTGCACACGTGCAGGCACGCGTGGACGCTTGCCCGAACTGGCGCCGGCGGTGAACCGTCAACCTGTCTATTTGCGTCTTTTGCGAAGGCCGGTTCGAGCTCCCATGGGAGCAGGCCTAAACACAAAGAACCTAAACAGCGAAGCTGTACAGGAAGACAGCGAAGCTGCAAAGATTGAAGCAGAGGTGCAGCAAACAGCGAAGCTGTACAGATATGCACAAGACTGCCAATACACGAGAATACAACTAAAATATAAAGAGGGAGTAAAACCAATGCGAGACCATGCAGTAACCACATATAGCGATTACCGTCTCAGCACCACTGAGAATAGAAGCAGTGAGAGACCATACAGTAACCACTGGTTTATACAGCGATTACCGTCTCAACACCACTGAGACAAACACATAACTAACAACTAAAATGACGAGTACACTTCAAAGTAATGCGAGACCATGCAGTAACCACATATAGCGATTACCGTCTCAGCACCACTGAAAGACCATGCACGTGAAACACAACGAATTTGCGGTCGACTGTGCACAGAGTCAGGCAAGACACCCACCACTCTTTGAGCGGGAGTGGGCAAATGCAAAACTCTTATTCCGAACAAAGTGAAGATCACGCGGGGCTCTTATACCAACATGCTCGCATGTCCGACACACACACAGCATGGCAAGAGTCAACGCAAACACAAAGTCCGAAATATGTCGTAACAACCCGCGGTAAGACAAGAGTCGTATTCTCACGTCAAATGTGTGATAACTGAATGTCTGATAACGCACTCAAGAAGTAACTCTCGGATAACTGAATGTCTGATAACGCACTCAGTATCTTGAATCACATGCATAACTAAGTGTCTGATAACGCACTCAAGTATCTTGAACTCTGATCGATACGATTCAAAGAAAGAAAGAATGAAAACAGGCACGCCGATACAATGCAGAGAACCTCAATCTCAAGATACTCCAATGTCACAGAACTGTCAAAGTACCTCAATGTCAAAGAATACACACGTGTGCAAGAGCAATAATGAAGAAAGCGCAAGCAGGCAGTACAAACAAGTACGAAGCGACGACAGCGGCCTATGCGTTGAAGTCAGTCCCACTTCTGATGCCAAACAGAGCTGGCCTCCAGCACCTATCATCTGTAGGCCCAAGGAGAGAAGGTCGTCGCAGCCGACGAAGTACCCGAATTTATTGCACGGCCCGCCCGCGCGCACACGGCCGCCCAGGAGGCAGCCTGAGGAGACAGGCTTGAGGAAGCCCCCGACGGGCCAGGCCACCGCTGAGATCCCCAAGGAGGGACAGCAGCAACCTGTCACCGCCGGGAACATCGTAGCGCTCCCTTTCACGCGTGAGATAGCTCTGGGTCGGAAGAGAGAGCTTCTGGGAGGCATTTCTCGAAAAATTGAGCATTCATTTTTTTCATGTCGAAATGAAGTTGGTTCCGCCAGTGTTTTGGTAGTAAAAGTACGCCTAGAGAGCTCATATTAACACGCAATCATAACCTTTTACAAGTGCGAAAATCTGCTTTCTCAAATAAATGGTAAATATCTTTCAAATATTCGCAAAACCATCCAAAAGTTGTCACTTTGTCTTTTCTGGTCGGGTCGACCAACTGGGAGCCGGCGGTAAACCGTCAACCAGGTTACCGCCGGGGGCCTCGTAGTGCTCTTATCTGCACGACGCTGCTCGGAACACATGGGGGAAGCTTTCTTACGCGTGAGCTGGAAATCTTTAAACATTACGTTTTTCGCTTTCAACGAAAGTCGGTTAGTACAAATAGTTTCGCGGATCTAGATCCCGTAGCAGACCGAGTTCAGACCTCTCATGGAACAGAGAAACGCGCCTGATGATTCTAAATCGGTTTCTGAAAGTAGCAGCTCTGTATCTCTCCTAAATCTTGAGAAGCACAGAAAACCATCAACGCGTGTGAAGATGCTTGAAACGGCCGACGGTTCCGTCAAGTCTTTTCATAGCGATATTGCAGCCACGGGCCTGGGAATTTCACTGGCAGACGCGGCACACCCCACTACAGGTGAGAAAAATACCGGTTCCCAAAAAAAACAACTTTAAACTTTTGCACGAAGATTGCAAAACCGACCCAAAGTTACCACATTGTCTC